CTTCTATTGTACAAGAAATGTTTGGGTATCCGCAAGAATGTTTTATGCCAGGCACTGCATACTGGACCTGTAAAGTAGGTGCAAAGACCAGGTTCATGCAGCGAATGATGGCTCAGCATTCCTATCTCTATAATAAGCTTTGCAACCTTTCTGTTCTTCCCTTAGCCTACTTTCAGCACCTCCAGAGTGCCTAATTTCAGTGCTCAGGACAAGAGGACAGTGTTGTCTTATGGGACTCTGGAAACGTAGCTGCTGTCAAGCAGGAGTGGGTATTAGACAGCTCATCTGCAATAACTTGATGGGGAGAGTTTGGAGGTCAGAGAAAATGTGCTGAAGAAGTGCTGCTTGCCTGAGCATGGTGATTTTGCTTTCCCTGCACATTGGACCCAGACCAGATTGTTGTGAGGTTAAGGCAGGCAGGGTGGTGTTCCTTGCCACGGTGGGTGCACATGGGCTCGAAGATGCTAGGAATTAAGGGACCGGTTGCTTAGGGTTGCTGGTGGGTTTCGCTTCTCACATAGTTGCAAATTAAATTGAGGAATCAATTAAATCTTTTCTTTCCATGCATGTCATTTTGGTTTTCACAGGAGCCCTTTGCTGTCAGCAGACTCTGCATCTTAAGAAGTTGTTTTACTCTCAGCTTCTCTGAAGGGCAGCACTGGCTGTTTCTGTTTATCAAGGAGTAATTCTAGGCAGTTTTTAAAGACTTTATCGAAACAAATTTTTAAATGTTACTTACTGGTTGGGGAGCTACTGCAGCCATGGCAGAAGCAAGCCCTGTTGCACTGAAGACAGCGAGGGGGGGGAATGCAGCTCACCTGGAGGTATATCTTCTCTCACCTTAGCTCAAGGTGAGAGCTGCAGTAGGGTGTCCCCGTCTTGGGGGAAAAAAAAACCTAGCAGGGCCCACATGAAGATTCTCCCACTTCCAGCCCATGTGTTTTTGAGGGAGAAAGGGCTAGTAACAGTCACTTCAGAACTGGCCGGTTGTGGCAACCTCAAGAACAGCCAAAGTAGAAACTTTCCACCAGTCATAGCTCTCCAGTTTGCAGAAGACGGACTGCTCTGGGATCAGTTGGTGTTGCTCTGATCATTTCTGTCCTGCAGTCTTTTCACCTCTGTTTTTCTTGATCCTATCTGCCCTTCTGTCTCCTTTCTCCTGTCTCTGTACTTCTTCCTTCAGTATTCTTTTTTTGTGTTTTTTTATAGTTGGTTTATCTCTGATGACTTCATGACACTCAGTAACAGCACTGTTATTTTCTGTTGCCAACACACTTCTGAGCTTTCCCTGTTCTCTTGCATTGGAGATCATTAGCTCTCTGGGACAGAGGCTTTCCACCACTCTGTATTTGTACAATACCTGTTACAGTGGGACCTGCTTTTACTGTCTAATAACATGCTTAATACAACCTGTATAAATAAATCATTCATTGGCACTTAGGTTCCTAAATTTGGGTGGACCGTTTTATATTTTTCCTACAATCATTCCCTTCTTCCCAAAGAAAGAAATAAATGCAATAAATATGCAATAAATGCATAAATACATAAATGCAAGCGTCCTAGGTTGTTTATTCTGAGGAAAATACAGATTCATTCATCTGTGTCTCCACATGGCTTCTGGCATCATGGAGTCTAGGTAGCTTGCTCTCTGAAGAGTTGCATGAAGAAGTGATGGGAGATGTGTGTTTTTCTGAGAGCACTGGCATAGCTGGTGTGTAAATGACTCTCACTGGGAGATCAAGGACTAAAGAATACAGAGATTGCTTGTGGTCTGCCTTAGAGCACTAAGCATTAACCTCAAGACAAGCCACTGGGAGGCAGTTTTTTAATTCCTGAACCACTGATTCACCTTCTGCCTGTTGAGCATCCTTCCCTCATCCAGTGACAGTCTCCTCTCTTGCCAGTTGACTGCTGGACTGTGGATCTGTCAGAGGAGGCAGTGGTGCTAAAATGACATCTCCCCAGACATCTTTCAGCCCCTGGAGAGCTGAAATTTGTATGACAAATGGCAGCCAGCCCCACTGAGGGACTTGGCGGTGTGGCAACATGTAAGTGTACACACTATCAAAGGCTACTTGGGGAACTGCAGTGTTTTGTCTTTCAGTTGACACTTTACCATTTCCTTGCTTTACAAATGTGTTGAAGATGCTAGTGCTTCATGAATATCAAACACAAGGTTTTTCTTTTCGGAATTGTGGTTTTTTGGTGGGTTTTTTTTTCACATGATCGATATGAAGATCTCAGTAGAGCACAGCACATCACAAATTTTTTTTCCAAGCGCTTTAACTGCTCCCTTCCCCCTCCCCAAAAGTACTGGCCAATATCCCAATAATCAAGACAATCACAGTGTAAAAATAAAGCGTTGCGAAGGCTCAGCTGTTACATGCTGGTGTGTGAACTTATGATGGCAAAGCTGCTGTTCTGTTGTCCATAAGGGGGAGACTGTGCTTGAAAGCTCGGGTCCCCTGTTGTATCCAGGAACAAATGCCTGCGGAGTGGCAGCTTTGTAAAGTGAAATTCCAGCTGTTACTTAGTAGCTCAGGAGGCCAGTTGCCTAAAAGTATGCCCCAGGGACAAGATGGATTTTGAGAGATGGAAGAATGGCAGAGTGGCTTATGCAGAAAGGTGCTGCTGTTGCACAGGAGCTTGGGTTGGGTAGCGATGGAATTTCTTGTAGCAGATGTGTGAGGAGGAGCTGTACCACATGCAGAGCCTGGCCTTGGTAGCGTATGCTGGGCAGTAAAAACCTGGCTGCAGAGTGTCAGGACTGAATCCAAGCTCTTCATGCTGCTCTTTCCCAGGCTGCCTGCAGGTTCAGGAAAACAGCACTGCAGAAAATGAGGTTGGGAAGGAATTCTTCATAGTGAAAGAGCTCTCTTAAATGGCTGAGCTTCTTTCTGTAGTTGCTGAGGAGTTGTCTATTTGCCTTTAGGGAAATGAGGAAGGAGACTTGAATTCTTTCTCTTCTTAATGTCTGTTGATTCGTACTGCAGTGGCAGCTGGTTGCTGGCTTTGCTTTCCCTGGGTGAATCCCAGCTGTGATTGCAGGTGCCGCTCCACTAGCTCAGATCCGAGCAGGGACTTGTGAGCAAGCGGCCCATGTTGAAGTGCTTCACAGCAGTGGATACAAATGAATGCTAAATCTGTTCCCTGGTAAATGTTGGAACCATGTGAGTGCACTGAACCCCTCTGAGCTGCCAAACCTTCTGTCAAGCCAGAAGTTAAGTTGTTGTAAGTCTATGTTCCCTTTTCTTTCAATAGCTTGTAGTGTGTCCTGTAGGAGTGTAAATATGACTCCAGCCAGGCATGAAACATCCAACTTGAAAACCACGGTGTTCGAGAGGCTGGGTAATGGAGAGCGTGATTGCGACTCACGAGGAGCTGCTTCTCTGGTTGGGTTGAAATGGGTAGAGTCTGGGCACGTCTACCTGCCTGCTTGCCCTCCTCCGGAGGGAGGAAGGTTATGGGAAGCCTGGCTGGCAGGGGCCCTGCTGAATTCCCTTTACTGATGTAACTATCAAGGCTGGCAAGACTGCAGAAGTCCTCCTGTGCTACGTAGGTACGGATGCTGTAGGAGCAGCCACTGGGGTGACTGCCCCTGCACGTGGACTGTGTCTGGTGTGTCGATGAGGTGTGTGGCAAGGATTGTTGCAGTGAATCTGCAGATTGTTCGGGAGGTTGTTTTTTGTTGAGGTTGTTTTTTTTTGAAACTCTTCTCCCATTCCCCACCCCCTCCGCACTCTTACTCTTTAGCTGTGTATTTAAAGAAGTAAGGTTGCTTCCAGGTGGGTTTTCTTTCCCCCAGCTCTGATTGGCACCACTGAATATCACTTATTCCTGGGCTCAGGCACCAGCTCTTAGCTGTGATGAGGTCTGGAGAAAGTAGCAGAATGCTCTTCTGCAGAGGGAGGTGTGGGGAGGAGGGAACCTGTTAGTGCAGCGGAGGGAGCTGGAGTGAATTTTCATGCTGATGAATATGAGAGTGAAAGCCCTGACTGCTGCTGCAGTGTGACTTGGCCAAGCAAGTGTTCTCTGGGCACTGTCAGCACACATCTGTGCCGAGCACTGACATGGGCTGTTCCCATCATGAGTGTTTACCTCAGCAGTGGGTCTCATGAGTAAGATCCCAACTAGACCAGTTGCAAACCCTAGCCTGGGGAGACTTTACTGTCTTGCCATTTGTCTTCTCAGCTGCACCTGACCAGAGGAGAGGCTGAGGAAATATTCCAGCTGCAGTTTGATTTAATTTTTTTTTCCCTAAGTATTATTTTACTTTCAATTTTAGGTTTCTCATACTTGCCTCTAGATCCACCTAGAAGGGAAGGGGAATATGTTGGTGCAGGCAGTGAGAGAAATGAGGCAGAAAAGTAGGATTGATCAGTGTTTCTGCTGCCATGTTTGGGACACTGGCATAAGTTATCTCTAATGATCTAAATTGGGGCTGAGGACTCAAGTCATTATGGGAAGAAGTCCCAGTAATGGCTGCAGTGATGGATGACTACAAGTAAGAGCCAACTACAACATTTTAAGCATAGTGGAGATCCAAAGCAATAAACCATCAGCTTCAACGCATCAGGCAACAAAGTTCTACAGAGCAAAATGTCAGGCAATAACGATTTTGGAAGGGATGAGGAGATGCGATTCCTCAGCAGGATGAGGCAGTGATGGCCAGATTCGCTGTCTCTCTACTGGAACACTGAGTGATTTGCAGCCTGTTCCCAGCAAGGCGGCGAGCGCAGCCCTGTATCTGCTGGGACAAATGCACCCACGCGTAGGGCAGTGCCTGTGCTTGCAATTTCCAGTGAGCCTGTGACAGGATCTGCATTGGCCTCTCAGCAGGGAGTGTGCCTTTGGCAGAGCAAGCAATACCATGCGGTGAGGGAGGAACCACTTCTTGCAGAACTGTGGCTCCATGTGCACTGACTCAGGTTGGCAGGGAATTTCTGCCGCGTCCCTAAGCTGTTCCTGAGACCTCTGAAGATTTCCCTCCTTTGTTTCAGAGCCATCATCAATCACTTCAACCCGAAGATAGAGTCTTACGCTGCAGTGAATCACATATCGCAGCTCTCCGAGGATCAGGTAAGCCAAGCGTGCGATGACCTTTTTACATGTTGACTTCTGGAATGTAGGTGTTTGGTAGTACCTTGTGCTCAGAGGGACTGACGATGTTGCAGCAATATGAGGGGTGGAGGCAGGACTTTTGTGTTCCTTGTTCAGTTGTGGATGAGGGGAAGAGAAACAAGGCTGGCTTTAGACAACTTTACCATCGCATGCAGACCTCTTGGTACAGCAAATACGGAAGGATGGGTACGAATGATGAAAATACGCACCATTGTCAGCAGGTGTGGTTGGGGATTGTGAGGATGCTGGTATTTAGAATGGGGCAGGAAGTTTTTGGCAGTGAATTTAATTACTGGAGAACTGTTGGGCATAGCTTTATTTTCTGTGGTGTTGGGGAATTAGAACTCAGACAACAGTTTGTAGAAATTTTCTAGGGTAATTGAATTCGGTTGGTTTAGATTTTGAAAAGAGAAGGTTTTTAATAAAGAGGGTGATAGGGTTAGGTTTGCTCTCTTTGTGTCCTGCTTGTATTGCATAAGTGCATAAATGTGTTTTTTTTGAAAATGGACTACTGTGTGTGGTCTCAGGAAGGGAAGAGATGGCCTGTTTCCCAAAATAAAATATTGGGATTATGTGTTAATCACTCTTGGAAAGGTAAATGACTCTGCAGGAGCCTGTGGTGGACAAAATACAGAGCTGCCATGCGAGCTGGGGGGATCATCCCAGATACAGCTGCTCTGGACCTTCCGGAGAAGAAATTCTGTATGCAGTCTAGGACACATCTCATTTGAGTCACCTTGGAGTGCTCCTTCCATTGGATGGGATCCCATGCTTGTGCCTGTTTAAAGGGTCCTGACTGTATCTTGCTTTGCAATTCATTTCTCTTTCTGTCCATGATATTTTTGCTCATTACTTGATGATACCCTTCCATGCTTCTCACTAACCTTTTTCATTTATTATCCTGCTTAGTCTGTAATATGTAACACCCCAAAGTCTCAGATTGAGTGCTGTACTGGTGCAGTGGGGAAAAAAATGTGAACTCTACTGCTTTTTATTCTTGTCTTGATATAGCTGGCTAGAAGAACACTGGTTTTAATTTACTCAATTTTTCTGTATTGTTCTGCCTCTGAGAGTCACTGTACCCACAGCTATGCTTTGCAATAGTTCACGTTATCAATGCTCATTCATTGATGATACACGGATTGCATCAACCCAGGCCTCTAAAAAAGAAAAGCCTTTGATAGCCCAATTTAAAACTGGGGGCTGGGATAGAGGGGAATTTTGCATAGTGCTTATGGTATTCTGAGAAAGGAACCAAGCTTTTCACTGTCAGCTCTGTGTAGTATTCATCCCCCCAGCAGTTCAGGGAGGTCAGGTTAAATCCTTTCTTCCTTGTGTGTTATTCTTTAAATAAAATCTCTAGCAGCAGGCAGATAATAAAATCAGTACTGATGCATGGAGCATTTTGAGGAAGATGATTAGGAAGTTGAAAGACAGATTTCTCTTGTTTTTTCTTTTCTGCCCCCATGCTTTCCCTCAACATAGGGAGAACATCAAACAAAGCAAAGCAATAATAGGCCCTAGTGAACTGCAGAGAAATAACGGAGATGTTGCTGTGGGGAGGGACTGTGTGGTCGCAGTGAGGATGTTTAGTCAGTGCTCTGCAATTTACTGCACGAGGAGGAGAGAGATGGAGACTTCTTGCCTCCCCTTTCAATTAGTCAGTGAGCTCAGGTCTGTGTGGTTTCCCCTCCATCAGTAGCTGTCCCATGTGTAAGCCCATGAGACGTAATGGTAGATGGTCAACATCAAGGCCAGGGCCTGGCTTTTGTGAGGTAACAGAATTTGTTTTTTTCATTCTGTGTTAGCTGTTCAGCATGGGCTGGGGGGTCAGACTTGCCTTTTGGCTGCTGCAGTGTCTCTTTTTTTTTTTTTTCTCCTTCCAGCTATACCTTTTCTTTTTACGTGTGTGTTCACTTAATTCCCCTTCTCTCTTCTCTCCATAAATATTTTCTACAGAAAGTCCATCTCCCTTTCTAGCCCTGTTTTTTGAAGTATACCACATTGAAATATTCAATGCTGACATTTAACTTGCGTATCCACACGCAGATACTATGTTTGGGACTGGTCATTCTGTCTTTTGAGTTATTTCAATAGTTTCAGGAGACGTAGTTCTTTACTGGAAACATTTAATTTTACAATTTTTAGATCAAACTTTTCTTTTAATGAAGCTTTCTTTCACAGATACTTGCCTTTGGCCAGATTCTCATATGGCTGCTCATATTCCTCTGTGGTATCTCAGAATCTCGTATTAATCAGGCAGGCATGGCTTTGACATAGCTCTATGTGAAGGGGAATTTCCAGCTGCACTGAGTGGCTTCAATTCACTTGAACCTACGCAGCTTGCAGACTCTACTTCAGCCTGTGTCAAACTTGCTATGCTGCTCCCTGACTGTTCTGGCACCCTGTTCATGTCTTAGATTTTTTTTTTTTTATTTTTATTTTTAATATCCTTAAAAGTAGCTAAGTAATCAGCTGAAAGAGATTTTGCTCTTTTTCTTTTTTCTAATCCTATTGAAGGCTTTATTACCTTATTAATCACTAATGTCCATTTATTACCATTCTCAGTCTGTCATTTCACTGCTTTCTCCTTTTTTATTTATTAGCATTAATGTTAACATTATTACATGCTGAGGGGATTTGTAGGCCCTTGAAAATGATGGACATGGGATTGTTTTAAGGATAGACTGTTAATAGCACTGTACATCTTCAGCCCTAAGGATCTCCAGGAACCATAGTTTGAATATACAGATCTGTGCTCTAGGCAGGTATATTCGCAAGACTTAATGATACTGTTTTGCTGACTGTTGTGGGGTTTATCCAGTATTCAGATCAGAAATACTGGGAAGAGACCTTTTTCTTTCCATATTCTCTTGAGGAAAGAGAGGGCAGGCAAATGCCAGGGATTTGACTATGAGCCACCTCAGTCTGTCAGCACCACGTGATGCTTGCCAGTGCCATCCTGCAAAGAGTGTACTTGCCAAAGCAAACTCATAATCCTTCCTAGTCGTTAGCTATTTTGACCTTGCTGTAGTTCCTTATCATGAAACAGGAAATATCTTGGCCAGTTATTGGCATCTTCCCTCACTTGCTAATTTGTTAAACCTGACTTCAGTGTGAATTTGTGGTTTTGTGGTTTTCTCCCGCTCAACATGTTTGGTTCCTGCCTGCATGTCCTTCAAGGAATTGAAAGATGCTGCACAGTCAAAAAGATAGGGTTGGCCGTTGACTGCCAATGTAGTTTTAGCTCTTCCATGCAAGTGATTATTCCCATGTCTTCAAAGATGTTTGGGTTCCTTCTGAAGTCAAAGGGCAAAATAGCCTTCCGTGAAATGAATTCATGGACTTATCTTTGCTTTCCAGATGACCGGACTGCGTTGTACTTAACACGCTGGAGGCAGTAGACTTTCTCTGTGCTGTATCTGATCTGAGAAGCTCACAACATGTTTTCTAGCAGAAGCAGTTGCAGAGAACAGGGTCAAGGCAGTGAGAAAACAGCAACACAAGAGTTGTTCCAGAAGGGCAAACACAGACGAAGAGAGAGACTGAAAACACAGGGCATGAGTGATCTGGATGGGATCTCATCTGCCTTTTCTGGGTGTGAAAGAGCAGCTGTTTCTAAGAACGCAGCTCTCTGCCTGATGGTGATGTAGCATAATTATTCTAGAGAGGCTAAAGAGAGAGGAACCCAGTACTTTTGGTGAAATCTCCTCTGAGCAGGAACGTCTTGCGCTGCCTCACATCCCAAGCAAGTCTTGTGCCAGTGTTGTGGTTTAACCCGGCTGGCAGCTAAAACAACCACACAGCCTGTTGCTCACACATCCCCCAGCGGGATGGGGGAGAGAATCAAAAAGGAAAAAGAAAAAAGTAAAACGTGTAGGTTGAGATAAAGACAGTTTAATAGGACAGAAAAGGAAGATAATGATGATGATAAAAGAATATACAAAACAAGTGATGAACAGCAAAATTTCTCATCACCCAAAGCCAATGCTCAGCTAGTTACGCGCATGCACACACACACACACACACACCCCCCCCCGTTATATATGGAGCATGACCGCATATGGTATGGAATATCCCTGTGGCCATTTGGAGTCAGCTGCCCTGTCTGTGTCCCCTCCCAGCTTCTTGGGTGCCCCCCGCCTTCTCATTGGCAGGGGGGGCATGGAAACGGGTGCCCCCCGCCTTCTCATTGGCAGGGCAGTATGAGAAGCTGAAAAGTCCTTGACTGCTTGGCAACAACTAAAAACATCAGTGTGTTATCAACATTATTGTCATCCTAAATCCAAAATGCAGCATTATACCTGCTGCTAGGGAGAAAATTAACTCTATCCCTGCTGAAACCAGGATAGCCAGTTAGCAAAATTGCTCACTAAGGTCTCATTTTCTCTTTGGCACTTGTTCTCTCTGTGATTTCCTCTCTAAGGGTCTTAAAATTGAGATGGCAGACACGTAGGGCTAATGATGCTTGCTAGTCAGGAACATCGATGTGCTTTTTCTAATAGAAGCTTCTCTTTCTTCCCAGCCACAGCAGGAACACTAGGGACCTCTGGTTTGGAGGTAGCGTAAAGTTCAGTGTGAAGGACTGTTGTGAACACCTGTACTGTGTGTATTAGTCTGGTAACTGGAGATGGAGAGTGCTGGGAGCCAGAACAGATTGCAATGGAAAAATAGGACAACTGTATCACTTTTGAAATTGTGACAAATGAGTGTAATACTTGGGTTGTTCCACATTGTAATACCTTTATAACTCGGGTAACTGTGATCCAGTTTGGTCAGGCAATCTCAAAAAGCCATTTCGCTTTCCTTGAGGTCATATTCCACATGTTGAGTGCTCCTCTCCACCCCCCACAATCCACGTGGCCTTTTGTTACCTGATGGGGCTTCCAGGGACTAATCCAAAGTGCAGCTCAGGGACCCTCCACCACTGACTTGCACAGAAAATCGCAAAAGGATGC